ATATAATATATATATGGCAATTTGTGAGCTTTAATAACATATACTTTGGGTAACAAGATTTTTTTGTAAATGCTTTCAAAAGATACACAATACACAATAACCCATGGCCCACTTTGTTTTGCTATTAGCAGATAGTATGTTTACAGACAGTGCAAGAACAAAATCAACATTCTATAAGTAGAGATTCTGCCCCTATGCTATCAAGACCTAGAATTCTAAGAGAGTGGGAACTAAGCAAGCAGCAACACAATAGCTCTGAAAATGTTTCCTTATGCTATAATCTCAGGAACAGTTTGCATGTGCTTCCTTTGAAGCTCATGGTATCAATAAGATGCATCTTCCTTGCTGGACAAACACAATGATTAATTCATGTTTCTTTTGCAGAATTTTAAAGGGTGAATGTAGTAAGTTTAAAAGTCATACCAGATATAAAAAAGACAGTAGATAAAAAAGGCTCGAAACCGTGAGATTCAAATAACTTGAGAGAGATGTACTTAGCTAGAGGAGATAGTATCTATAAGAACATAAAGCATTTAATAGACATATTTGCTGTATTTTATTATTCTATTTTTTTCAATTCTCCTTGAATCATTAAAATAGATTACTGAGATAATTATTTTTATTTTAAGTAATGTAACTCAACCACATTTAAAAGAAATAAAGTCATAGAATAAATTACAAAGAAATATATTCTTTGAAATAAGAGTAATAGATAAAATATGAAATGTGTTTACATTTTCAGTTTACTAACACATGATCCTAGTTCAGCACTTGTATTTTACAAATTACATAAACTTATACACATGCTATTGTGGTCTGACATAATTATGCTTTATACTAGCAAAAACAGTTAAACATTAAAATATATTCTTCAAATTCATTATGTAATTTATGTTCTCAAATATTGTTGACTAGAAAGAAAAGTTTTGGCTTTTTCATTATCTTCAAAATTAAGATTCTAACAAATAAATACATCTGCAAGATTTAAAGTGACATACATTATACAAATGACTGGCAATTTAAGTCAAAATTACCATAATGTAGAAGATACCATTTTGCAGAGTTAAAGGACAAAGAGATAATTCAAGTTACTAGTGTTTAATATGAGTTAATTACAAACTGTCCTTGTAAACTACTATCCTCTTCCACTGAGAGATTATTTATTGAAATGCTACTAAAAACATGTTAAAAATCTATTTTTTAAAAATGAAGTTTGGTCAAGAGAATTTATAGTATCGTGTATTCAAGGTTTCATTCCTAAAGCTTTCAGTTCTTGCATCAATTTTGCATTCAGTAGCAAGTTACAGCATGTTAAGAATTGGAGTAAAATTAGATCTCAGCATTTCTACTAAAAGCACATAGGAAAAAACAACTTTGAAATGTCTATACTATACACATCTGACACAAAATATGTATGGTTTTTATAAAGAACATAAAAATTATGCTTAACATATTATTAAAATCAAATTAAATATAGTATAGACAGAACAACTGAGTTAAGAACTCTTTGATTGGATAACCCTTTTGTTTTATAGATACATAAATGAATTAAGATGTATACTGTTATACTTTGATAAAAGCATACTTTATTATCAGAATGTATGTTATTTTGATTTTTCACAAGAATTAGTTTTGCCATTTTAGTAAAATGATCATGGCAACTTTTCCATTTTTGTAATTTTGAGGTTTACCTTTTGGTGTTTCTTTAGAATTTAAATCAAGTAATGTTTACTAATACAATACTGTTACTTCAAAACATATATTTTGTGGTAGAACATTTGCCTACCATGTATGAAGATGAGTTTAATACCCAGAACCACTACATATATGCATATACACACACACATATATATATAT